TCAAAGCAGCGTGGTCTCACGGCCAGGTTCCCATCAGAACGCTTCCTTCTCCTGTTCGTCCTGCAGCTTTCCAGAGCGCTAGCGCGGTGCATGGTGCCCAGACTCGGGAAGCCCTGGGTGCCCAACGTGCTTGAAGAGCCTCTTGGCTCATGGCTGTGGGGACTTCGGGGCATCATGTCCTTGACTTCTGTTTGTCACAGCTAACTGCTGAGAAGACATCCTGTGCGTGGTTTTGTTTCCTTTCTCCTTTGCACCCCGTGTCCTTTCCCATTTCAGAAGGGAGAATTGTCCGTAGATAGAATGAAGATACATTTTCCTTAGACTGGTGACATGAAAGAAAACATCTTGAACCTAGTTAAGACAATAGAGTCTGAACGCTATTATCAATGGCTAAATAACACTGAAAGTGGCCGGAATTAGGGCAGGAGGAAGGCAGTTAGAATTGAGCAGTATGGCAAACCAACACGGCACCTTGGATTAGTCGTCTTGATTTTGCTACTCAGTGTGTGAGACTAGAGGAGGTCTGGTCCTCACTTCCCACTTGTATGAAATGGGGAGTTGTGCCAGATAACGTCCCTGTTCCTTTCAGCTAACACATACTCTGCCATTCTAGGGACCAGAGAATGAGCAACTCAGACTGACCACTCTGAAACTATTTTAGCAGCTACTTTAACCTAACAAGGTGATTTTTAAGAAAATATGAGATTGAAAATTTTAAATGTTCATGACCAGCAATTTAATCACAGTTCAAGTTTGTTTACTTAGTCAACTCTTGATTAACACAGGATGAGGGTTAGAAAGAGGTCTCCGAAAACTACCCACATCACTGTATTTTTTTTTTTTTTCAAAATGAAATGTTCTCATTTATCTGGTGGAGATTATTCATGGGTAAAGTAAAGTACATTGGGATTTGGGATATCTTCCCATTTTCATTTTTGAAAAAGGGCTTGGTAGTGAGGGTGTTGATTGCTGGGCTGGGAAGGGGGGTGGAGAAGGATGAATAGTAACCCTCCCTTTGACTTGGGCCCTGCCTAATTACTGAGCTTAAGGTCCTGCTGAATCAGAATTAACCCTCCAAGCAGTTAATCCACGACCAGAAAATTAAGAGTTGCGTGTACCTAGTCATTAACAACCAGTTCCTCCTTGTGTAAATGACAAAGCAGGGAGAGCAGAATGGCATAATGAGTTAAGAACCTGACTTGGCCTTAGGTAGACCAGTGATTCCCAAAGTGGGCGCTACCGCCCCCTGGTGGGCGCTGCAGCGATCCAGGGGGGTGGTGATGGCCACAGGTGCATTTGTTTTAACTTTTTTTGTATTACCTTTCTATTCTGAGTTCAATAAATAGTTTCATAATTTCAAACTTCAATGTTTCTAATTTACACCTTGCTTTACTATATTTTACGAAAAAGGTAGAAACATTAATACATATATCTTTCTGTTTAATTGCTATTAAAATTTTAAAAAAATTAATTTCCAGGGGGCACTGAGTAATATTTTTTCTGGAAAGGGGGCGGTATGAGTTAAGAACCTGACTCGGCACTGAGGTAGACTATCTTTGCTTGCCTACTCCTTAACTCCAGAGCTTTAAGCAAGCCACTTAACTTCTCTGTGCATCAATTCCTCGCCTGTGAAACAGGAGTAATATTTACCTCACAGGGTTATTGTGAGACTAAATGAGATCATGTCAGTTAAATGAGGTAATACCTGGCACATAGTAAAAGCTCAATAAGTGTTCTCTACTCCAGCTATGATTACTGTTAGGGTTTTTTTTTTTTTCATTTATAATAGAGATACAAGGCTATTCAGCCTGAACTATCAAATATCTTGCTTTTTTCTGGCTACAGAAGCTGAGAACTAAAGTAGAAGTCATAAAGCTGATAAAACAACCTAAAGTTAAGACCTGAAGTCCCTTGTGCTAATGGTTTAGATGACAGCTGTAGTCTAGTCTATGATTAGACTGATAAGCTGTCACAGACAGTGAACATTAGTCAAGGGGAGATTTGGCTGTCATCTGAAAACTGTTCTGGCTGGTTTGGGTAAAAGGGGTGTAATGTAAGGACACACAGAAGTGCAGGGAACGCCCATGGCTTATGTTACTGGAAAGTTATGGCTCCTCCTTTAGAGCTGTAAGCTCTATTGTCTTTGAGGCCCTCTATACATTTGTTCCGTTCCTCCATTGCTGCATATTCAGAGCAGCTTCCCACACATACCCTGGTGACCTAAACCTCCCAATCCAAGGACTTCTCAGTTCAAGCAGTTGCCTCCAAGCCCAGGAAATAATCTGATTGGCCTGCGTCTGACAGGGATCTATCCCGGGTTTAATCAGGGATTTGTGGCAGGGTCATGTTATTTACAATTTGGATCTTCTTTCCAATTATGGGTGGACAGTTCCTCTACGTAGGGATGTGCTCATGGAGGAAATGATTGACACTTCCCGTGGGCCCTTAGAAATCACTTAGCCTAACTCTCTAGGACTCCACCCTCTGACGAAAGCAAAGCCATGAAGGGCTGTCACTAAAGCCAGTCAAGTACCTGCCTGGTGGCGGGGCTGGGAATAGAATCAGGCTCTGGTGCTCAGGCTGCCATTCTTGCCCTAAGCTTGTCAGTCTCCCCCGGAATACAAAAGCTTGCCCAATATATCACAACCAGAAGTGCTTTTCAGATTGCCAGTTGTGTCATACAGCTCATCTTAAAGAACACATTGTTATGTCTTTGCGTTCAAAATGAAGGAATTTCAAACCCTTCAGGATTCTTTTCAGAACACCCTAAGGTTTATATTTTTCATTGTTTCAGAAAGAAAAGCCCCATGTCTAATCAAGATCTGTTCTACATTACAGATTGCAACAGAGGCCATAGAAAATATTAGGACAGTTGTGTCCTTGACCCAGGAAAAAAAATTTGAATCAATGTATGTGGAAAAATTGTACGGACCTTACAGGTAATGAACATGTGATCGTTACTAAGAACCTAGTGCTGGCCTAAGGCTGAGTTATTGTCCCCAAAAGATAATAAACCTCTGCTGTTCCAAATACTAATGCAACTGTAAGGATGACATCTTTTTTTTGCTAATTATCTTACTGAAAATAAGTAGCTTTTTTAAAATTTCTTTATTAAGTTATTACATATGTGTCCTTATCCTCACATTACCCCCTATCCCCCCACTCATACCCTCACCCCCCTGTTGTCTGTGTCCATTGGTTAGGCCTATATGCTTGCATATAAGTCCTTTGGTTGATCTCTCCCCCTTAACCCCACCCTTCCCTACCTTCCCTCTGAGGTTTGACGGTCTGATCGATGCTTCTCTGTCTCTGGATCTGTTTTTGTTTATCAGTTTATGTTGTTCATTATATTCCATAAATGAATGAGATCACGTGATATTTATCTTTCTCTGACTGGCTTATTTCATGCCACTGAGCCATAGGATCAAAGTTTCCTATCTCTTTTAAAAACAATAGATTGGGTCTCCAAGAATTGAACGGTCCAGAAGACTGTGCAAGTTTTTGTTCATCTGTGCAGGCAACAGAAACAACCCATCTGGCTGATTCAGGATAAACGTTGTTTTAGGGAATTGCTCAAACCTTTATTTTCTTTGGATTGTGTAGACTGAACCAAAGAAGAGGCTTGTTATTTAGTTAAACCTTATCCATGGTTTGCCTGCCATAGTTTCAACCTAGTCAACCCCGGTTGAAATATTACATGAAGAATTCCAGAAATAAACAATTCATAAGTTTTATTTTATTTTTTATTGAAGTATAATTGACTTACAATGTTATATTAATTTCAGTTGTAAAACATAGTAGTTGAATACTTGCATATATTATGAAATGATCGTCATAAGCCTGGTTACCTTCTGTCACCATACAAAGTTACTACAGTATTATTGACTCTGTTTTACATGCTGCTGGTTATATCCTCATGAGTTATTTCTTTTATAACTGCTGATTTGTTCCCCTTATCTTCCTTCACCTATTTCACCCAGCTACATGCCTCTATCCATGTCCTTCTGGCAACTACCACTTTGTTCTCTGTATCTAAGTCTGTTCCTGTTTTGTTTGTTTTGTTTTTTATAGTCCACATGGAAGTGAAATAATAGGGTATTTGTCTTTCCTTGACTTATTTCACTTAGCATAATACCCTCCAGTGCTATCCATGTTGTTGCAAATGGCAAGATTTCATTTTTTATTGCTAAATAATATTCCACAGTGTGTGTATATATCACCTCTTCTTTATCCATTCATCTATTGATGGACACTCAAGTTGCTTCTATATCTTGGCTATTGTAAATAATGCTTTAAGTGAACATAGGGGCACATATGCCTTTTCAAATTAGTGTTTTCATTTTCTTCAGATAACGACCCAGAAATGGAATTGCTTGGTCACATGGTAGCTCTATTTTTAATTTTTGAGGAACTTCCATACTGTTTTCCATCGTGGCTGCTACAGTTTACATTCCCACCAACAGTGTACGAGGGTTCCTTTTTTTCTACATCGTCACCAACACTTGCTCTTTTCTGTCTTTTTTATAATAGCCATCATGACTGGTGTGAGGTAGTATTTCATTGTGATTTTGATTTGCATTTCTCTGATGTTGAGCATCTTTTCATGTGCTTGTTGCCCACCTGTATGTCCTCTTTGGGAAAAATGTCTAATCAAGTCCTCTGCTATTAATAGATTTGTTTGTTTTTCTGATATTTGGTTGTATAAATTCTTTACATATTTGGATATTAACCACTTATTGGATGAATCATTTGCAAATGTCTTCTACCATTTGGTAGGTTGCCTTCTCATTTTGTTGATGGTTTTCTTTTTTTTTTCTTTTTTAAATATATTTTATTGATTTTTTACAGAGAAGAAGGAAGAGAAATAGAGAGTTAGAAACATCGATGAGAGAGAAACATCGATCAGCTGCCCCCTGCACACCCCCCACTGGGGATGTGCCCGCAACCAAGGTACATGCCCTTGACCGGAATCGAACCTGGGACCCTTCAGTCCGAAAGCCGACGCTCTATCCACTGAGCCAAACCGGTTAGGGCGATGGTTTTCTTTGCTGTGCAAAAGCTTTTTAGTTTGATATAGTCCCAATTGTTTATTTTTGCTTTAGTTGCCCTTGCCCGAGGAGACATATCCAAAAAGATATTGCTAAGAGTGATGTCAAAAGCTTATTCCCAATGTTTTCTTCTTGAATTTTTGTGGATTCAGGTCTTATATTCAAGTATTTAATCCATTTTGAGTTTATTTTTGTATATGGCGTAAGATAGTGATTCTATTTCATTCTTTTGCATATCCAGTTTTGCCAACATTCTTTGTGAAGAGACTGTATTTTCCCCTTTGTTTACTCTTGCCTCCTTGGTTGTAGATTAGCTGCATGTGCCTGGGTTTATTTCTGGACTCTCTATTCCATTCCATTGATTTGTCTGTTTTTTGTGCCCACAGCATACTGTTTTGATTATTATGGTTTTGTAGTATAGTTTGAAAGTGGGGAGCATAATACCTCCAGTTTTGTTCTTTCCCAATATTGCTTTCGCTCTGCCAGGGTTTTTAGTGGATCTATACAGATTTTAGGATTATTTGTGCTAGATTATTTGCAAAATATGCCATTGGTGGTTTGATAAGAATTGCACTGAATTAGTATATAGCTTTGGGTAGCATAGTCAGTTTGACAATATTAATTCTTCCAATCCATAAGCTGCAACTGCTTGCCAGCCCTAGCAGGGGGGCAGGGTGGTTTTGCAATGGCTGGCACTTGCAGACTTTAGCGGAGCAGCAGGAGAAGGCTGAAGGTTCCAGGTCACCCTCCCCTTCCAGGGAGTGGGGACATGTTCCAAAATGACTCACTCTCTTGTCTGGTGTTAGCAAAGCAGTGGGATAGTGCCCTGACCGCTTGCCCACTGAGTTAGCAGGTCAGGTAGAGAGTGCAATAACGGCATCCACCAGCCCCTCCCCTCCGCCTCTCGGGAGCTTTTCAACTCCTGGAGAGTCAGTGGTTTTCGGTTAGCAAGTCAATCTCTTTCCCATGTAGTCTGGGTGCTTTTTTAGCTGCTGTTTTATTGTTATTTTGTTTTGTTTTGTTTTTGCTGGGTCTCAGGTCGAGTCCCTTAGGTGGGGAGTCTTAGTTTCCCATAGCACTTTGGGTCCCTCAGATATCAACATCAGCACCATTGGTTTTCTGAGTCAGGTGTTGTGAGTATATTTAACACTAACAAAATTGAATACAACTTAGATTACAACTCTGTAGACTAGAATAGTTTGAACACTTACAGATTTAAAAACGGATATCTGAAATTCTCAATTTATTCTATCTCCTTTTTATGTATACTTCATGCAGCTACATTTTTTGGTATTTGACATATACATGTGGCATTATTTATGACCTTGTGGTTTATTTGAAACTGCAAGAGAATTAAGGAATAATAGAACGCTGGAGCTAATTTCTAATTTGATTGTGATTTTAAAGATTCAATATCATGGTAAATTTTTCAGTAATATTAGTATTATAAGGCCATGATCACAGCACATAACTTAAAAGTCATCCAAGTCAGTAATACTTTGACTTTTCTGTCTTGGCAAATACCTTCCTCCTAATCGTTCTAATCTAAAAGTAAATTGTTGTTCTCAACCTTGGCTGCACATTAGAATCACCTGGGAATCTTTTTAAAATCCTGATTTCTGGGCCTCATCCTCCAGAAATTCTGTTTCTTTGTAACTGATGTTGTGGCCCCACCCCATAACAAAGAAACAGAATTCCCAGGTGATTCTAATGTGCAGCCAAGGTTAAGAACCACTGCTCTAGAAGCTGAAAAAGGGAAGGAAACTGCTACATAGAAAGGTTAAGTCACTTACTTAAACTAATGTAACTGGGGGCAGAAGTTAAACCCAGGTCAACTAGACTTAGAAGCTATGCTCTTTCCACTGCACAGTGCTAAGAGTGGTTGAAGAGATGGTTATGAATGCTCTAATTTGCTTTTCAGAAATTCTGTACGGAAGGCACACATCTATGGAATTACTTTTAGTATTTCACAAGCATTTATGTATTTTTCCTATGCCGGTTGTTTTCGATTTGGTGCCTATCTCATCGTGAATGGACATATGCTCTTCAGAGATGTTATTCTGTAAGTAATTCTTAAAATAATAAGAATATTCTATAGTAATATTTTAATAGGTCTATGCAAAAGTTTAGAGAAGGAAAAAACCCCTCTCTTGTTGTAAGATAAGTTTAGAGAGTTGAATCAACTACAGAAATCTGATCTAATCAATACTACAAGGACAGTTTAATCACTGGAGTGGGCAAAAACTAACCAACCTCATCATAGACCAGAATTTTAGGAATAGATAGAACCCCAGACAGGAGGATAGCAAATTTTCTTATTGTATAACTAGAGGCCTGGTGCACGAAATTCGTGCAG